GAACGAAGAGAGAGAGAGAGAGAGAGAGAGAGAGAAAGAGAGNGTTAAAAAACGTGCTCCGGGGCTGGTTCCTGGAGAATGTAAATACGTTTCGTATCCTGTTTCCGAAATAACCGACGTGAAACGTGACTCGATCGTTTCGAAAGGTGGAAAATTACAGATTTCTGCGCGTTCGATTGTCACGGCTTACAAATGACGCTCTTTCGAGCAGAGACGCAAACTCGACGATAAACGTACGATGCGAATTTTCGACTCTTTTTTCCCCACCGATTTTTCCCACCAAGATCTATCGATAGATTTTTTTCCCAAGCAAAGTAAACTTACGTTCGACTTACGATACTTGGAGAGCGAGATCAATTTCGAGTTGAATTTCCTTTTTTTTTTTCTTCTTTCCGAGTAGAAGAGTAATATCCACGAAAGCAACGCGGAAACGATCCTTCTCTACCGGATAAAATATTGGGTTCGATATTCTGAGAGAGCGAGGTGAATCGGTTCTTCGGGCCAACAACAATGTGGATACTCTTTTCCGCCCGTTGTCGGAGGTATTGGATGTCGGGGATTGGATATTTGCCGGGATCGATCTGGAAATCAGTTGGTGAAGAGCGAAATGGAAGCGCAAACGGCGCGGCTAACGAACGAGGCGAAGAGAGTGCGTGGGGGCGTAGGAACGGTCCCCCTCGTCACGACTTCCTGCCAATTGCGGACAATTTGCGATCATCTATGATCTCCCCCCTCGTCGCTCCGTCGACGAAACATGGTGTGGACGGTGCTTAAGAGTTAACGCGGCACGATTCTTTTTTTCTCTCCCTCCACTCTTTCCCTCTTTCCTAATTCGCTCTTTCTCGCTTTACACGAGACACCGTGCCATCGGCGACGGCCAAGCGTTAACGCGTCCTACGCGGCTCACTTCCCACGTGACGTAACCGAGGAAAGGAACGACGAGCGTTGAACGTCGCGTTTCGAATACGTACGCCTATCATCATCCCTATCTCCGCTCGTGCGTGCAATTTGTGCAACGAGGCTGATGCTCGAAACGTTTTTCCACCACTCTTCCATAGATCATCGGATCGAGCGAGATATTTTCTTCCAAGTTTATATAGTTAGAGAGATTTGGAACGGTACTTTGAAATTTTTCGTCTTTTAATAAACGATCCTTTTGCGAACGATTCTACTAGTTGAATATATTTTTAAATTCAAAGATTTCGAGGAATATTTCATCGAATATCTCGTTTTTATTAAAGCGTTTGCGGACGATATTGTTGGGTTGTTTATTGAGGGCTAGAATGAAATTCAATTGTTCAATTTCGAGAATCGAAGTTTCTAAATTGAGAGATTTCGAGGAATATTCCGAAATTTTTCCTCTTCTAATAATCCTCTCGCAAGTGATTCCGTTTATTTGTTGAATATATTTTTAAATTAAGAGATCTCGATTATTTCACGATTTTAATTAATTCTCTGTGGATCAGCGTTTTAAATAATAATAATAATTTTATTATAAAAAAAATACTGAAAATTAACAGAGCACAGTAACAAGGTTCTGCCATTTTTAAAATTTTCCGCTCCGGGTAATTTGTTGAGAAAAATAAAAATAAACGTTACTTCACTGAATTTGTAGCGTTACGTTACTACGATATCAAGTTTATTTATAGATATTATGATATGAACTTTTTAATTTTTTATTAAAAAGTTTTGGCGCCTCCCCTGGCAATAGTCCGCGCCTTTTCTGGGAATCGCGCCTCCCAAGTTGAAAACCGTGACTTGGGAGGCGCGATCTTGTTGGATTGTTGAGGATAAGGAAAAAATTCCATTGTTAAATTTCGAAAATCGAAGTTTTTAATTTGAGAGATTTCGAATTTTTCGCGTTTATCTTTGTGCTTAGCTTCTATTGAGAGGATTGTCGTAAATTTTTACGAAATGAATTTTTATGTTGGAAATGTCGAAGAGTATTTTAAAATCTCCCTCTAAATCTTCCATAAGCGATCGAGGGGAAATTGTTAAATTTCTTCGAAGTTTTCAAATTATAGATTTCGAAGAATATTTCAAATCTTTTGTTTTCGAGCTTAACCTCTATGCTCCTGGAGAGAAATTATAACATTTCCTCGGAACGAGTTCTCGAAGAATATTTGACAATTTTCGCTTCTAATAATTCTCTGTGACCGATGTTGCCTAGAATCGAGAAAAAAATTAGATTTCGAAACGGGTTTTAAATTAAAGATTTCAGATGAAATATTTTCGTTAATTAATCCTGTGCAGACGATGGACGAGCAGCAAGAAGAAATTAAAAATTTCGACGAATATTTCAATAATCCGACTTTGGCGTAAAAGAGACGGTAAGCCCCCCCCTCTCCCAGAGAGCAAGATACACAAACGAGATCGCTGTGATCGAGCCAAAATTCCATGTTCGATCGAACGTATTGAATGGATCGCCATCGTTGAAGAAAAACGCGAGGCGCATCAATTACGAGAGGGAGGGCAACGTCGTAATTCCTAATTTATTACAATGCGCTCGTTAATCGCGAGACGATATGCGTACAGCACGGTTGTCCTCCCACGTGACATAACCGAGGATCGAACAAAGGGTCTTGCACATCCCTTATAATACCTCGCCACCCATACGTGATTCGCTTTTTCAACGAGGGATTATACGCGCAGAATCGAAAAACTTTTCTTTCCTCCTCTTCTTCTTCTTCTTCGTTTCAATCAAAACGAAGAAGACGGGAAGAGAGATTCCCACAGGGAACCGTTTCAGTCGTCGTTTACAAAACATCTCGTCGGTTTTATCGGGAAATCGGCTATCGATGGAAATCCCTATTGTTCTCCTCTCTCTCTCTCTCTTCTTTTTTCTTTTCTTTTTTTTTTTTTTCGTATCGACGAGGTGAAAAGCGATGGAAGAAGAAAGGTTTCTCACGGGCGCGTGAAGAAAGAAAGCGGATGATAACGTAGCGGGCGTGAAAATATCCAGTGACGATTGTTCCGGGAACAGGAACATGGGAAGAGAAATCGACGTTCAGCCGGTTCGCACGATCGATTTCCTCGATTATCCGTCGCGCGGATTTATCGGGAACGATCCACTGGGACGTTTAATTAACGTTTCTAATCCCTCGAGCGCGAGGAGTGGGGGAGGGGGGAGATTACACGGTCCTTGATCCAGAAACCTGCTCTAATCGGAGGGGGATCGTTAAAAACGATGCCTGATCAACGAACCGGTGACGAGTGTGCATTTCTGGGACGAGAAGATTACTCTTCTCGAAACGGTGAGGTTATTCCCGAAGCAATTCAAATTCAAAATAATCTCACGATCGTCGAGAGATCATCGTTCCAACTTGGTGAGATGAGGATGATTCGGTGGCGACGCGGTCGAGTTTGCCACTCGAGTTAGAGAAGATTGTTTCTCATGTAGCCGCGGGAGAGGCGCATGAACGGGACCAGTGTCATTGAACAATTCGTATTAGCATGATTATGAGATTCGTTTATAATCATGTTATTATGTAATGCATGCCCTCGATTCAGTTACGTAACAACGGTTCCATGCACGAAACCGCGCGCTCCACAATCGAATATTGCCGAATATTTCCGCCCGTTTCAATTATCCGTGTTTCGAAAAATTGCAAGAAAAAATTGTATCGCCGAGAATAATTCGCACACTCGTCGGATTAATTCCTGCCGCGTCGTGAATCCAAGAAGCGAATTTCTTATCTAATGGAGGCCTCGTGATGCAAAATTGCACAAAGCGTTAAACACGCTTGTAATTTTTCTCGCGCGAAACGAGGCGAGAAGAAGTATTTCGTTGCGAGCCAGCCAGCCAATTTCGCGAATTATTTTTTCTTTAAATTAACGGCGTTCTGCTTCGAAGGAACGAAGGAAGTTGTAAATTCTATTCCCCTCCGTGAGAAAGGGGAAGAGAGAGGAAAAACGAAGTATAAATCATATTTTATATTAATCGAAGAGGAAACGAATCGAGAGTCGAGCTTAGGAATTTTCCTAAAGAAATTGTGTAATAGCATAGGAACGTTTCGCAAAGAATATATCGTGCCTATATAAATGCAAATGTGCCTTCCCGTGCGCAGATTCTCTCTTTAAACTCTCTGACTCTCTCTCTCTCTCTCTCTCTATACGAAAGAACTCGTACTTACAAAGGAACGGA